GAGGAAGAGGCAGGAGGAAGAACAGACAGTCTGATGACATCAACGGTGTGTGAGGAATCGGCAAGTTGTCTCCGGGAGTTTGGCCGTGTGGAAGATCCTGTAAAAGAGTGCTAGAGAAGCTCTACCGAGCTTGGCAGAAGCCGGCTGTTGGTGAATAAGACCCTTCTAGTGACAGACAATGAAGACAAGTGTATCTAATCCTTAATTCTACTAGCAGATACTGGTAATAAAGGGTGTCGCGCTTATCTGAATCTACATAGAACCCTCCTTATTATTTAGAAGCCTTGTACGCAAACAATGAAGGCTGGAAAGCGTCGTAACAATTTTTTAAAAATCGTCTTGATAGCGACCTACCCAGCGGTGTAGATCATGTTTTATCCACAATAAAAGAATCACTTCAATTTACGCTATATAACACTTATTAACGAATTGTTTTATCTTATCTTTGTGAGGTATCATAGATAAAATAAAATTAAACAGAGAAAGAGATTTGCACATTGAATCCAATATGTAAAACCTGTTATCTCGAACTTCCAGCTGTAGGACTGAAGTTATGCCATTTGACTAAAATAATCTTCTTTCTTCCTTTACATGTCAACACATTTCAGATTTTCTACCTTTTATATTTGAAATATCACAATTTAAGTTATTAAAATGGAGCATTTCCCAATCTCTTTCCAGTGTTTTGGATCCCTTAGTTTAGGGTTAATGGTAAATACTGTACACTTTTCTACCTCTTTATATTTGAAATGTCAAAACTGGGTGTTATTAAAATGGAGCATTTCACAATTTCTTTCTAGTTCCTTTGGCTCCCCGAGAGTTAATGGTTTTAAAACGGAAAATTTTCTACTTCTTTATATTTTAAATACCCAAATCTCAACTCATTTTATTCACTACCAATCTCTAAGTAGCTCCTTCATGACGGAGGACTGCTTACTATCAAACCTCCCTTTGAAAATTAAACGATTTATAGCCCGTCAAAGTATTCTATGGCTACTTTTCCCCAAGGATATCACGGGATTTTGTAACAGTGATCCTTTAAATTGCTACTTCTGCAATGCCGTCATCCAAGACAATTTGGTCCATTATCTATTCCATTGCCCATTTCTACAGGAAAAGAGACTGGAAATTCGCGAAATTTCGGGGCTAACTAGCTATAATGAACAACATGTATATAAAATGTTTACTACTCTCCTGATGGATAAAACATTTGTTTATAAATATTTAAAAATTTTCAAGGCGATTGATAAAAGAGGGAAGAAGTGCTCAACTCCACAGACAACGGCTGATTGCTTCCCCTCCCCTCTAAATTGCTTTTCCTCCTCATTCATGTACATATATAACCTTTTAGGGGAATCCCCTTGTAGGACAATAGGGTCTTAATAAAGGTTTTGTTGTTGTTGTATTTCAAATATGACAATTGAAGGTATATTAAATTGAAGCAATCTCTTTCTAGTTCATTTGGCTCCCCGAGTTTAGGTTTAATGCTAAAACCTGCACACAGAATTGTAGTCCTAAATGTAAGTATTGTATTAAACCTGTGTATTCCAACACAACCTCCACATCATTGGTTTCCAATCCAATCAATTCTGTGGTTTGTTTTAAAATTGTCCAAGTCTCTAGGGCCTCTACGGATCTTCTTTGATGGAATCGGAAACATGTTGCCCGTTCAAGTCCGACATTTTAGTTCGATTTTTCCTTTAAAGTTATCCTTTCTGTAAGGCTGTCTCAAAAGTTCGTAAACATGTTAAGACTATGAAAATTCGAAACTATTATAGAAGCGTATGATTTTTTTTTAATTAAACAATTTCTACTGTGATGCACTAGCGCGCCATCTGTTATCAAAATTCGAAACTATTTTAAAGGCGTAATATTCTTTTTGAAATTAAAGAATTTTACTGCCCTTACTGCAATGGAAAAATTAATGGGAGGGCCTGGCTCTTCAGTGGTGAACCCTCCCATTCTACTGTCCTCAAAGCTTATGTCTATAGTTCTTCTAAAATACCCATTTCAAGAGTCTAGCAACAGTATCACTATATAAGGAAGTTCCAAAAGTGCAATATAACAGCGGTATGGTAGATTAAACTGGCGAAACCGCTGGGAGGGTTCACCACTGATGAGCCAGGCCCTCCCATTAATTTTTCCATTGCAGTAAGGGCAGTAGAAATTGTTTAACTGCACTATGGGGATAATAGCAAAAATGTGTCTGTTAGCTGCTTCATTTTCACTCTATATATAGAGAGAGATACAATATCTGTTGTGGAATAAGAAACAAAATCATTCATAGAGAAACAATACGTGGTAACGTATTGTAATATAGTATTTATTAATTTTATTATTTTTATTAACAGAGTGGTCAATTTTATGTTTATATTTTGCTACTCTGTAAACTTCCCTCTTTGCTTATCTTTTGTTTACTATTCATAGTTTGTTCTTGCCTAAAATAAATTGCTGTCTCATCTCGAAGTTGGTCTTCCCTAATTTTCCACGTGGCATTTTGGTGGAGATGCTGGGTAAATTAGGGAAGACAAACTGAAGACCGCCGAGACCACCTTGAAGCCATGGGTGCTGTGATCTACATTGCCAGAGACTGGCTCCAAGATTCCACTGCCGTGTCAAAGCCAAGACTTCGTTCCAAGATGACGATGTCCCTATAGACGACAATACGATGACAAAGCCTCTCTTCACGCCGCTAGAAAAAGGACGCAAAGGTACTAGGGACAAAGTTCCAAGACTTCGATGGAATCCTTGGCAGAAGCACGTCAGATCCATGTCAGTATCTACAATAATTGCTAGCTGTGGGTCACAGCTCCCATATGGAAGAAGCTATCTAAAAAGTATTTATTAATTTTATTATTTTATTAACAGAGCGGTCATGTTTATGTTTATATTTTGCTACTCTGTAAACTTCCCTTTTTGCTTATCTTTTGTTTACTATTCATAGTTTGTTCTTGCCTGAAATAAATTGCTGTCTCATCTCGAAGTTGGTCTTCCCTAATTTTCCACGTTGTATTTAATAACAATACGTGGGGGTAACATGAAATAACAATTAAAGAGGTTTCTGGAGATGAGTTTCTTTTCCTTTTAATAAAGCAGTCTCAAGATTTCAGGAATCTCTGTCCTTCTACAGGAGAACATAAATAAACGAATGATGCCTAACTATTACCAATAACCAGAAACCTGTGTTTAATTGTTTATTTTATGTCCAGGGGATTTTTAAAATCAATTGATAGAATAACAATACAAAAAAAGAAAAAGAAAACGGACATTGAGGAGGAGTATCTTGTGCGAATTTTATTATCAAGCTTTCGGACGTATGCGTCCTTCTACAGGCTTTTTACGATCAGGTAAGGCAAAGGCTAACCCTAAACTAAGGGATCCAAAACACTAGAAAGAGATAAGGAAATGCTCCAATTTAATACCTCCAATTGAGATATTACAAAAATACAGAAGTAGAAAATCTGAAATGTGTTGAAATGTAAAGGAAGAAAATATTCGTGTAGTCAAATGGCATAACATAACCTAGTTCTACAGCTGACCATATCCAGATATACAGGTTTTACATATTGAATTCAATATGTAAATCTCTTTCCCTGCTTAATTTCATTTTATCTATGATACATCACAAAGATAAAACAATTCGGTAGTAAAGGTGATATAGCGTTAGTGAAGTGTTTGTTCCTTTATTGTGGATAAAACATGATCTACACCGCTGGGTAGATCGCTAACAAGACCGAGTTTAAAATATTGTCACGACGCACTCCTCTTCAATCTTCGTTTTATTTTTCTATTATAACTCGAAGAGTTTATTGTAGAGAGTCGAGAATAACAATACACGTATATTTTATTTTAAAAGGCGAGCTTTCGGAAGTGGCTCTTTGTCCTCCCACTGGCCGACCTAAATAGCTATTGAGAAAGTGGTCTCTTACCTTCTAACCAAGATCAACCATCTCAGCAATGTCGGGGATATTACCTATTCACTTACCTTTATCATTAGATTGGCGGATCAAATCCATTATCAGTCACCATTGAAGACTTTTATTCTCCAGAACTACGTTCTTTATTTATTTTTTTCTTTTGCTTATCCCTAGTACACATGTTACAGGCCATGATAATCATGGTAGGTAGAAGTAGGCGACTGCTTTTACTGTAAGTACATCACATGTCTACATATGTGAAAAGCAGTTCGACTTTGCTCTTACAAATGTGCCAGAGCCCCGTTTGATTACTTACTGGTGGGGTTGGATTTTTGAAAGAATCGGGGGCCATTAGAGCATTTTTTAAATCAGAAAAAAGTGCCCAATGCGGGAATCATACCCAGGTCGTAGCGGTCGAAAACCAACAGTTTAGACCATCCTTCCACCGACCCCCACCGACAGTCTTTATTGTTGTTGTTGTTTTCGTGTCCAATGAAGAGCCTCAAATGTCTCCATACATCTCTATCACAGCAGCAGCAATGTCTACTATCTTGGGTGTGTAAAGCTGCTGCTCTGGGTCTATGTCAATTTTCTGCAAGGCTGCGGCCATTGCTGGGAACAGTCTTTATTGAAACTACAAAGTGGATGTTCTGAAGAAGTAAAAAAAGAGACAATAGATTCAAATTCATCTTTATTCCAAGTTGGTCGTATAAAAAAGAACATACAGAAGTTATTCTAAGGGATGGGTCGGAAGACAAATATGATTTGTACAGTCATATATACAACCAGAGATCTGTGGTCCTAGTTGTGTTCGCCGCAGTGACAATGGTTGGTTGTCCAGAACTGAATTTACAGCAATTGGTGGAATCTATGCACTCCAGTTGTCATCCTGCTGAAGACCATCCTGACATTCTCAGTTTAATACTATGATAATATAAATTAAACAAGTCAATAAGTAACTTATAATACAATATACTGCGGCTTGTGATTGTAAAACAACACTTGAAGTTACACCGCATGAGTTTCGTTTCAATGAAAAATCTAAAATTATTTCAAGGTGAAATATTGACTATTTATAATACGTCCAGGGTAGCCTAGTGGACATGGCATCTGCCCGGTAAGCGGAACATTGTGGGTTCGTTTCCCATCCCTGAACACTTTTATTTTTCCGTTCATCATTATTCTTCATAATTCACCCTTTCATACCTCATCCAAAAAGGTTATAAATAGTCAATATTTCATCTTGAAATAAATTTTGATTTTTCATTGAAAAGAAACTCATGCGGTGTAACTTCAAGTGTTGTTTTAGTCAATAAGTGTATGGAGATGAGCTTCTTTTTATTGCAAACTCTAGCTTTTGTAGCCCTTCTACAGAAGTTCAAATATACAATGATATAATACCGTTAGATAACTATCATCCTTGAAAATATACGAAATGGAACCAATAAGTACTTCAATTTATTTTATGGCTTCAAGGAGACTGTTTGACATCATTTTTACCTCCATTGTTGTTCAAGAAACTGTGGTATCTACGCATTTACCAAGATTTTATGGCGAAACCTTTTCTGGATGGCAGTATAAATTTAAAATGATTTGCTTGATTCGTATCAAAATCAAAATATATATTTCTTTATTAGTCTAAATTCAGAAAACCAAAATATAGTAAGTATTTATCATGTTTAAATATATAAGGATCACAAGATTACATGAGGAGCTTCTTTTTAGCTTCTCATGTAAAAGAAGCTCCTCATGTAAATCTTGTAATCCTTATATATTTGAACTAAATTCTACTGAGTTCATGTAGCCGAAATTTATCGTGTTGATAAAACCAAGCTAAAACTCCAATTTTTCGAATTATATTAAGTATGTTCTGATTTACGATAAATTTTATGTATTATATAAAGATATATTTTAAAAATGATTCTGATGCAGAGATTGTGAGCATTTATTTTAAGTAAAATATTATTGATAAAGAATGCTAATTAAAAAGGAGTACTTAGAATCTATTAAACAAATTAGTATATTAAAAATAAAGAAGGCATATCCTGACTAGGAGCACATATGCTTTTTAGATGGCAGAGAGCCATCTAGTAGAACAGAAATCGACTAAACATTGATTTAGTCTGTTCAATGATATTTGGCCAACCTATTGATAAACCAAGAGAATCCATCCACGATAGGTATATATATATATATATATATATATATATATATATATATTTATGTAGTAATGTTGCAGACCCATCTTTCAATGGATATATCCAGATTGTGATATTTTGGAATTTTCGATACCATTCAGTGACTGTAGGGTACAGAATATGCAAAAGGGTATTTTCAGTGTAAAGAATCTATTCAAATCTTCTTGAATGCTATAGTAGAAAAGAAGTTAAGCATCCAAGGACCTGAAACTAATATCAATAACCCATATAGTTTTCACAGTACCTCTTTATAGTTGATTGTGTTACGAAATATTAAAAATACAACCTCTATAAATATCCCCATTTAAAAAAATAAATAAATAAACAACCGTTATCCTAGTTTTAAAAAATCTTTCAAAGGAAGTTCTTAAAATTATCTCTACAGCAATTTTCCTCCTCACAGAGCTGGCTTCTTAATACCGCTTTATTCTCTGAAAATATAAATGTGTATTTTGACCACACGTAAATTTATATATATATGCGTTGCTATCATTTCTGATCTATTTACCTCGAATAACTGTATATTATATATCTTCATTATTAAAGTGGTTGCGAGGATTCTTTTTAGTAATAATAATGTAAAAATTGATTGTCTTGATGTTAAATATATATGGAATACTATATATTAGACTATATAAAAAGATAGAGGTCCCTGGCCAGCATTCATATTTCTGTGATAAATAGACACTTCGGCCAGTTGGAGTTTTTTATTTTCTCAACGTTTCGACAAAAATCTTTTGTCTTCGTCAGGAGAAATAAATAAAAATAAAGAATATTTAGTTAAGCATGCTTTATTTTTATTTGTTTATTCTGACGAAGACAAAAGATTTTTGTTGAAACGTTGAGAACATAAAAAAACGCTAACTGGCCGAAGTGTCTTTTTTACACAGAAATATATAAAAATAAATATATTCATTTATTTATATGTTCTATTATATTTCCATATTTGTATATATGTATTTTATGCAATTTGTTAAGGAGAGAGGTGGCCATTAGACCTGCATATAGAGTTGGACTCTAGTATAGAGGCTGGTGTCGAATAGTGTTTGGGATGTAATACGTACAACGTTCGATCGTATATATAATGATTGCAATAATAGAGTATCTATACTAGAGGTAGAGTAACCATGTAAGAATCCACAGATATGGTTTTGTCAGACCTAGGTAGAGAATTAATGGGTGAATATGAACAAACTATAACAACCTGGAGATAATCTTATTTATATACACCTATCCCCCGATTTACACGGTACTTATTTTACACGTTTTCGTTTTTACACGGTTTTCCAAATAAGTTTTTTTTTTTGTTGTTGTTTTTATCGCACTATACTAAATGCTACTGTGATTTAACACATGCGTTGTGTACACATCTCACGAGGAATCCCGAGCTTATGTGCTGACTTGATGCACACGCACACTGTGTCTGTATTTCTAATTTTTAAAAATTTTTAATTTTCGATTTACACGTTTTTCTCAGGAACGTATCTACCGTGTAAATCGGGGGATATGTGTTTTTGGCTGAAAATTTGTAAAGTTTCTTAACCGATTTCAACCATTAAAGAGGTATACTGTCTGATCCCAGCCAACACCTTCAGAATATTTTATTACCGGTTTAGCATTGAGATGCAGCGATCTGAAGTTGTGACTATTTGGGATATATAAACATGACCATTGATGTCATGATGGATAGATATAAAAGCGTTATAGACTGTTTCATATCAGGAATCGATGTTCATTTTATGTTAAAGAATCTGTTATAGATATATACTAGATTGAAATTTCGTAACTACTATAGACGCGTATAATTCTTTTTGAAATTAAACAATTTCTACTGCCCTTACTGTAATGGAAAAATTAGTGGGAAAAATTGTTTAATTTCAAAAAGAATCATTCGCGTCTATAGTAGTTCCGAATTTTCATAATAGATGGCATGCTAATGCATCATAATATACTAGATTGCCCCTGTTAATATAAAACGGTTATTAGAATCAGTTAGTGAGGTTTGTAATAAGCTATACAGAGAGAGAGCTATGTATTTAAACTTTGATTTTGTCGAAAATGATTAGCCACGATTTCATCAATTTACTTTCCAAGATCCAAAGATCCTTTCGTTTCCCTACCAAGATCTATATTGATAGAGATCCTATATAGAAATATGGTGAATATGTAACTAGATCTTCAGTTCTACCTTCTCTTCTGTATCTTAGTGGGTGCCTTGAGATTTCCTTGGTAGGATAAACAAAAAGGCCATCATGCCAATTACTTAATAGCGCACGAGCTGGGCGCGGTCACAAGTCATTAGTCAAAAAGGATACTTCTTTTTTTTTCTTAGTCGTTGAGAGGAGTTAAGATAAAATTCTGCCATTATCATTAATCTATTTCCTTAGGCAGCTTCTAGCTAAAGTCGATTTAGTTGGCGAGGTGCAAATGGGTCCTTCTTAACGTGGCAAATGGGGTGGACGCGAGGCCAAGTGGTTGTGGAATTCTTTTCTGGAAGTTTTAAGCCTTATATACACCAAATGGATTTGATATATATGTAAATTCTAAAGCATGGGCAAACTGTATTAATATCTTTGCATATTTTTATATAAGTATTTTATTATTTTATTAAAATTTAATGCAGACGTAATAGCGTCCGCGTTGTATCTTCTGCTTTTCATCGTCTGCGAGTTCTTCCTACGTTGACGCATGCGCAATTCATTTCTTTTACTGCCATTAAAATGTACGCTGGCAATGCTCCTAAATATTTAGTTAAGTTTGGTTTTCGGGTCAGAGATGCGAAGGGCTCTTTTTTTCGTTCGATTACAAAGGTCCTGTAGGAATTCACTGTATATTTAGTATTTTTTACTAATTTTTAGTTAAACTTGTTGTAGAGCGAACTGTATCTAGTAGTTTGTCTAATTTTTATAAACGAATAATTGTAAAGTATATATGACAACACTGTTTTCTTCTTTCATTTTTACAGATTGCAATTATTCGATAGAATTTTCCATATTTGTTTTATGAGCGCGTATATATAATGAGTAAATTTAAATAATAGCTATACAGGATTAACAATGATTGAGAATCCTTTTATTTTTGTTTTCTTGTGTTAAAGACATATCTCAATTTCTTAGAATTTACCTTTAGCGCTTAGTTTGCCAGTAATGGAAACAACAATTGTTGTTAGATTGGCTTCTTGTAATGTAAGATTTATATCTCATGTTATATAGAAATATTTTGAATATAATTATGGATATTGTATATTAATTTATATTATTTATTATATAGAGGGTGTCTAAAAAAATCGTGTCACTTTTAAATCTATAAACATTATGTTATGTTCTGTTATTAAAATTTCAGGAATAAATGAACTACGATACAGCACAGAATGTTTTGCTACAAATTAATACCATCAAATATAATAGAATAAGAATAAGTTTTTTTAAAAAAAGAAACATTTCTACTTCGCTCTTAAAATGTTCGTTACACTTCATAGACTCCTCTATCTTGTCGAATCTTTCAAAACTTAATAAAAAAATATATCGAATTACTAAACAAAGTTTTATATAAATTACAATATATAATGAATCCACTTCTATACATTTAATTCAGGATGATTTCAGCTATACCTGAAAAAATAATTAAATTACGCTACATTTGTAATATTTTCGAAATTAAAATTCTAAGAGATCTTATTCAGCAAAATGACAACTGGAGTGTTATTTATATTACTTGACCTCAATCAAATTAATTATCAAACCCGTAAGCAACAATACACCTAAGGCACTTTGTTCAGGACAAATCACAGCATATTGTCAGCAACAGATTTCTTTTGTTATCTAAAAAAAGAAAAAAGTCATATAGGAAATGTATAAAATTGCTAAATTCCATTGTTTACTATCACAATTTATTATTATACACCTATATTTTGTAATATATATTTCAAAAGTATAAAATATTTAAATTGTCTCGTACA